ACACACCGATATACCCCACACCCCTCACTGTAACACACCGATATACCGCACATCCCTCACTGTAACACACCGATATACCCCACACCCCTCACTGTAACACTCTGATATACCCCATATCTCTCACTGTATAACTCTGATATACCCCACACCCCTCACAGTAACACCCTGATATATCTCACACCCCTCACTGTAACACCCTGATAGACCGCACACCCCTCACTGTGGCACTCTGATATACCCCACACCCCTCACTGTAACACTCTGATATACCCCACACCCCTCACTGTAACACATTGATATACCCCACACCCCTCACTGTAACCCACTGATATACCCCACACCCCTCACTGTAACACACTGATATAGCCCACACCCCTCACTGTAACACGCTGATATATCCCACATCCCTCACTGTAACACACTGATATTCCTCACACCCCTCACTGTAACACTCTGATATATCCCACATTTTCATGGCTGCTAATGGTTGCTGGAACAGTGCGGAATTGTGTTTCCTTCTGTATTTTTCTAGAGGACTACGTGTGCACTGGGAACCTGGAGCATGACCTCACTGAAATTTGTAACCGACTGGAGATCCTGGAGATGCCAATTGTGACTCTGCGACACCCGGGAATCACAGTCAGTGGGATGTGTAAGCGATTGTTTACCATCTGGCGCTGCATGCCCTGGTTGGCATTGTATGTTTCATTCCACTGGACTGGGCTCCCAGAGTAATTGGGAACCGGGGGATCAGTCAATGTGAGCCATTCTCAGGCTGTGCTGCAGGACCTGAAACAAATCACACGCTCTGTCACTTCCACAAGTTTCAGCCCAGTGGATATTATTTTGTGCGTGTGTGTGAAGGGACATCTATGCAGGGGGATGTGTGTGAGGAGGTACATGTATGCAGGGCATGTGTGTGTGTGTGTGTGTGTGTAGGTACCTGTATGCGGGGGGTATGTGTGAGGAGGTACATGTGTGCAGGGTGCGGGGCACGCGCTTACTAGAGTAGGGGTGTGTACGTGTGTGTACTAAAGCGGGGTGGGGCAGGGGTACGTGTGTACTGGAGAGCAGGGCCAGGGACGTGCATTTGGGCACTGGATGTGTACATATGTACGGGGCAGGGTGTGTCCATGTGTACAATAGAGGGGTTGTGTGCAGGAGCAGGATGTGTGTGGGAGCGGGGTTCTGTACCTGTGTATGGGAGTGATATATGTTTGTGAGGAATTCTGCTTATTTCTTGTTGCATGTCACACTTTGCATTGTGCTTGCCTCCCAGTTGACGAGATGGAATCTCTGACTCCCTCGGACGTCTCCTCTGCTCCCCCACTGAAAGATCAGATCTCCTTCTTCAGACCCAGTGTACAAGTTGAGCTGGAGAACGATGACCCGAAGCAAGTGAAGGCCATTTATATCCGAGGTAGGTTTCAGACAGAGACAGCAGTGGGCCTGAGACAATGTAGCTCCATGGCGTACGGTCCAACAGTATGAGCCTTGGTGAGGAATTATAGCAGTCGGGGCCAGTGGAATGTGAACATTTAAAATTGGTGGACAGGGTGGGCATTCTGAGGGGTTTTAATAGAGGGGCACGGTGGAGCAGGGAGCAACGTTTGCTGAGGGATCTCCACAGATGAGGGAACCCATGCCCTACTAACCCCAAAGCCTGTCCACCCACGACAAGACACGAGTCATGAGTCAGATGGAATATTCCTTACTTGCTTGGATAGGGTGCAGCTCCAAAAATATTCGAGAAGCTTGACACCATCCAGAACAAAACAACCCAATTGATTGGCACCACAAACCTCCACTACTGACGCTCTGTCACAGCAGTGTGTACCATCCACAAGATACAGCGCAGCGACTCCCCAAGGCTCCTTAGACAGCACCTTTCAGATTACTTCATTGACACATTTACAGTCTAGAAAGAGGCGATTCAGCCCATTGTTTGAGCACCAGCCACCAGATATTCATTCTGTTTTCCAACTCCTGACCCATCCTGCTGTAATCTTACTAGAGTTCCTGACACCAGGCAGTGAATTCCAGACGCACATCTCCAGGTGGGTGGAAAAATAAAACTTCTCTTCAACTTTCTTCTCAACCTTCTATCCCTTCCCTTAAATCTGTTTTTGCACTTATTTATTTACTCATGGGATGTGGGCATTGCTGGCTGGCCAGCATTTATTTCCTGTCCCTACGTGCCCCTCGAGGAGGTGGTGGTGAGCTGCCTTTATGGACCACGGTCTTGAAATGCAGTCCCTGTGTTGTGGGTTGACCCACAATGCCGTTAGGGCGGGAGTTCCAGAATTTTGACCCAACGACATTAAAGGGACAGCGAGATATTTCCAATGAGTGGCTTGGAGGGGAACTTACACGGGGGTGGTGCTCCCATTGTACCTGCTGCCCTTGTCCTTCTAGATGGTAAATTTCTGCAGTGCATGCTGCAGAATCCAGTAATGGAAAACGTGTCTTCCTGTCCATGCCCCTCATAATCATATACATCTCTAATAGGTCCCCTCTCAACTTTCATTGCTGGAAAACAGCCCCAGTCTATCCAGATTGTCCACATTAAACCAAACCTTTCCGCATTCTGACAAATGCCCTCTGCACTCTCTCCAGTGCTATCATGTCCTACTTTCGCTGCTCGCAATGTTACCTGCTCTAACACTGGGGAGACAAAAAGCAGACTGGGGGGTGACTGCTTTGTGGAACACCTGCATTCGGATTGCAAAAATGACCCCAAGCTTCTTCTGGTTACCTGCCACTTCCGTGTTGGAGACAGCGAGAACTGCAGATGCTGGAGTCAGTGTCAATACAGTGTGGAGCTGGAGGAACACAGCAGGTCAGGCAGCATCAGAGGAGCAGCACAATCGACGTTTCGGGCCTAGACCCTTCATTAGGACTCCTGATGAAGGGTCGAGGCCCGAAACGTCAACTGTCCTGCCCCTCTGGTGCTGCCTGACGTGCTGTGTTCCTCCAGCTCCACATTGTATTGGCACTGCCACTTCCATGTTCCCAGGCCAACATCCCTGTCTCAGGCTTGCTGCAGTGCTCCAGCGATGCTCAGCGCAAGCTGGAAGAACAGCACCTCATATTCCGCTTTGAGACCCTACAGCCCCAGGACTCCATATCAAGTTCATTCGTTTTAGGGCCTGGACAGCTCCTTCCATGTCCTTTATCCACTCCCACACACCAGATCCTGTCATGACATGGGCTGCTTTCAGCTCAGCACAGCCAATCCACTTCCACCTGCTTGTGGTTCCCCAGCGTCAGCTTCTCTTTTTCCCTGGCATGCTATCATCTGTCTCTGTCTGCTGAAATGTCATGACGTGGAGGTGCCGGTGTTGCGCTGGGGTGGACAAAGTCAGAAGTCACACGACACCAGGTTACAGTCCAACAGGTTTGTTTGAGAAGTGGAGGCATGGGGAAGATCTTGGCGAGGTGCTCATCCTCATCGATAATGTGTTGAAGGCTGCAAAGAACATAGTGTAGGTTTCCTGCTCCTGGGAAGTAGTGGATGGTGAAGGGCACCCTATCAGGTATATCCTGTGTCTGTCTTCTGAGGAGGTCATTAAGGTTTCTCACTGCGGCACATTAGAATTGGCAGTCGATGAGTTGAGCATCATATCTGTTTTTATGAGGGCATCATCAAAATCTTTAGGTGTCTGACACGTTCCTCCTTGTCCGAACAGATCCTGTGTATGCTTAGGACTTGTCCGTAGGGGTGGATGTTTTAATATGTTTAGGGTGGAAGCTGGAGAAATGCAGCATCGTGAGGTTATCCATAGGCTTGTGGTAGAGTGAGGTATTGAGGTGTCTGTCCCTGATGGAGATGCATGTGTCCAACAATGAGACTGATTCTAAAGAGTAGTCTGTGTTACTCTGATGTTGGGATGAAACTTGTTGATATCGCTATGTAGTTGTTTCAGTGATTCTTCACCATGAGTCCATGTTGTCAATGTACCTCGTGTATAGCGTTGGTCAGAGGTTCTGTGCAGCAAGAAGTCTTGTTCGAACCTGTGCATGAAAATGTTGGCATGTTGGGGAGCAAATCTGGCCCCCATGGCTGTTCTGTGTGTTTGGATGATGAACTGGTTGTCTAAAGTGAAGATGTTGTAGTTAAGGATGAAGTGGACGAGTTGTAGGATGGCGTCTGGAAATTGGCCATTGGTGGTGAGTACGGTGGCTGTTGCAGCAATGTTGTCATCGTGGGGGATGCTGGTGTAGAGTGCTGAAATGCCCATTGTGACGAGGAATGTTCCTGGTTTGACTGGCCCGTGGGTGCTAAGTTTCTGTAAGATATCTATAGTGTTGCGACAGTAGCTGGGGTCTCCTTGTATAATGAATTTTAAGATGCCCTCAATATAGCCAGAGAGGTTCTCATACAGGGTCCCATTGCCTGATACGATGGGACATCTAGGTGTGTTGGCTTAATGTATCTTCGGAAGGCAGTAGAAGTCCCCTACGCGGAAAATACACGGGATGAGAGTGTGTAGGGTACTCTGCAGGACCGGATCAAAAGTGGTGATCAGTCTATTGTGTTCCCTGGTTGGAGCGGCAGGTAGTTGTCTGTAACGTTCCTGGTTGTTCAGCTGTCGGTACACTTCCTTGCAGTAGTCTGTTCTATTCTGTATGACAATGGCTCCTCCTTTGTCTGCTGGTTTGATGACAATGTTGAGATTGATCTTGAGAGAATGGATGGCGTTGCATCGTGCCTGGGTGATATTTTACACTGCCTTGTGAGTGTGGCTGATGGATCTGGCATTAGCGCATCTCCTGGCAGCTTGAACATACCTGTCGACCCTAGGGCAGCAGCCTTCCAGAGGGGCCCAATCCGACTCCTTCTTTGGTCACTCCACCATCGATCTCTCTGTCGACCGATCCGGTTCATTGGTTGTCTCTTTGGGCTCCCTGCTGACACCTTGGAAGAATTCCCAGAGCCTCATTCACCAGATGAATTCCTCTGTGTCTGCTGCAAGACCAATGGAGTCCATTTTAGTTGTGGAGCAGAAACTGAGCCCTCGGCTAAGAACTTTGATTTCATCCGGTTGAAGGGTGTGGTCAGATGAGTTGATGATGGATTTTCCCTGTGGTGGTACTGTGGTACCAGGGGAGGTTTGGTTATTGCTGGTGGTGATGCCAAGTTTCTCCAGTTTCTTGTTGTTGGTGTGCATGTAGTGGTGTAGTCCCGTTGCCTCGTCTGTTTGGCAGTGTCTGGTAACCGTGCTGCTGTATCTTGAGCACCAGCTGAGAATATGGACTCCATCTCGATTTAAAGGTTGTGGAGCCTGCTGTAGAGTTGGTGTACAAGCCAATTGAGGAATGTGCGAGAGGTGTGATGGCAAAGTCTCTCTGTGTAATCTGTGTTGTAGGTTGACTTGAGTGGGTTTGTGATCTGTAGTGCTTTTGGGATCTTCTCTGCTTTCTTGCATTTCTGTAGAGACTTGATGCCTGTGCTGATATGTGTGATCTTCTTGGAGATCCTCTCTCCTTCGAGCCGAGAGGGTACCCTCGGTTGTCCAGTACTTCCCGGGAGCGGAGAAACTACCCCATGTTCTTCGCAGCCTTCAATACGTTATCGATGGCGATGAGTATCTCACAAAGATCTTCCCCACGTCTCCACTTCTGGCCTCTGAACAATTGCCAAATCTTAAACAGACCATTGTTTGCAGCAAAATACCCAGCCTTCAGGACAACATTGACCACAACACCATACAACCCTGTCATGGTAACCTCTGCAAGCCATGCTAGATCATCAGCATGGACACTACCATCACACGTGGGAACACCACTCACTGCGTGCATGGCAGATACTCGTGACTCGACCAATGTTGTCTATCTCATATGCTGCAGGCAAGAATGGCCCAAAGCATGGTATATTTGCAAAACCATACAGATACTACGACAACAGATAAATGGACACCATGCAACAGTTGCCAGACAGGGATGTTCCCTTCCAGTGGGGGAGCACTTCAGCAGGCAAGGGCATTCGCCCTCGGATCTTCAGGTAAGCGTTCTCCAAAGCGGACATGGGGATACACGACAATGCAGAGTCGCCGAGCAGGGCTAATAGCCAAGTTCGGTCCCCATGAGGACAGCCTCAAATGGATCGTGAGTTCATGTCGCACTACAGGTGAACCCCACCACACTATACACTCTCACATATGTGCGCGCGCGCACACACACACACACACACACACACACGCAATCTCTCACACGCACACACACTCACACACACACACTCTCTCTACACACACTCTCTCTACACACACTCTCTCACACACAGTCTCTCACACACACTCACACAAACACACACACACACTCAATCTCTCACACTCACACACACTCACACACACACACTCTCTCTACACACACTCTCTCACACACACATTCTCACACACACACCCTTACACACACACAATCTCACACACCCTCACACTCACACATATGCTTTCTCCCTCACTCACTCACTCACTCACACTGACATACATAGACACTCTCACAGACCCTCTCTCTCACACACATATACTCTTATACTCAGACACACTCTCTCAAAGGCACGCACGTGCACACTCACACACACATACACACACACACATTCACACTCACACTCACACTCACACATACACACACAAATCTATGGGATGAATTTGTATTTGCAGATACATTCTATTTAGTTCAAAAAGCACACAGTTTGTTGACACAGTCAGTCAATGGGGCATTTTATAAATTTGAGCTTTGGAAATAAAATCAGACGACTCCAGGTTAAAACGCAGACAGGTTCTAAACAAGGCCTCACACTTAAAATGCATTGTCTGAGCTGAGATGTCACATCTAGTATACACTGATAAAACCTTTAGTTATCTTGGGGCAGTCACTTGAAGGAAATTCTGGGATTTGCATTTTAATCAATCGAAACCTGCACCTCCTTTCTAACTGATTAAAGATTTAGCAGGAGGGAGTCAGCCAGTCATTTTAGGTTTATTCAATACATTTGCATCAGTTGTATGATCTTTGATCTTTTACTTACAAATTCTGTGTCTTGATGCCTCTCTCACCACACCTGATCTGGATGCTTTTGTGAATAGGTAGATTGGAGAGAGATATGGGCCAAATGCTGGAAAATAGGACTAGATTAATTAAGGATATCTGACCGGCATGGACGGGTTGGACCGAAGAGTCTGTTTCCATACTGTACGACTCTATGACCCTAAACCTGATGAAGGAGCAATGATCCAAAACCTAGTGTTTTCAAATAAGCCTGTTGGACTATAACCTAGTGTCGTGTGATGTGTGTCTGGGTTGGAATAACACTTCTGCTCCCTCTCTTCCAGGCTGGATGATTGATCAGAGGTACATCTTCATCTTCCAGAAGTGCCTACCTGCACTCAGCAACCTTCACACCATCAAGTAGGTGGACTCTAGTGTAGAATGTGAGCATGGTGCTCAGGCTGATTTCATCCCACTCTCAATGGTATTGAGGGGAGCTGTTCTATAAACTGGAGGGAACTCTTCTTGCTGCCTGTAGAATCCAGCACAAGAGCCTTAGTCTTAAAAATTGAACCGCATCTTTTACATTTGGGAAATGCTTGCGGTACGCACTGCTCTATCATTGGCTGTTTCGAAAACTCCACCAGAAAGACACATTTCGTGTCTGATGTGATTATTCTTTGGAACTGAAAGGGAATTGGAAAATGACGGGATTTCTGCCATTGACAGAGCTGGGGGAGGAGCAGGCGGTGAGGGTGCCAGGGCAAGAGATAAAGGGAGTGCCGATGGTGCTAAAGGAGCGATTGAGATGTGAAATGGGTGTTAAGAGCAGAAAATAGATCAGATTTGCTGTGAGGGAACCTAATGTAGACATGATGCTGGAGGAGAGAGGGAGGTGGGAAGAGTTATAATCAAAATGGAGGGCAGTGTCCATTCTCTGATGTCGTTGAATTCAATTTTGAGTGCTGAAGTGCCTAACTGGAAAATGAGGTGTTGTTCCTTGAACTTGTGACATGTTTCATTGAAACACTGCAGCATGAGAGTAAGATGGTTTATTGAAATAGCAAATGACAGGGAGGTCAGGGTCATTTCTACGGACAGAGCGGAAGTGTTTTGCAAAGTGGTTACCTAGCCTGAGCTCGGTCTCCCCAAATGTTAAAGGAGACCGCGTTGGGAGCACAAAATGAAGTAGATGAGATTGAAAAAAAAGTCAAAGTGAAACGCTGCTTTACCTGGAAGGTGTGTATGGGCACTGGGGAGGGAGGAGGCGAGTGGGCAAGTGTTAAACTGCCTGTGATTACACGAGAAGGTGATAGAAAGGTACAGCAAAGGAACAGACCCTTCAGCCCACCATGGCTGTGCTGTCCATGTGGCCATTCCAAACCAATCCCATCTGCCTGCACATGGTGGGGTGCCAGGGGGAGCTGAATCCTTGGGCAAGGAACAGGAGGACGTCCTTGGCTCTGATGGTGTGCTCTCTCTCTCTCTCTCTTGCAGCCTGTGGAACGTGGGTCTGACAGAAACCACCTTTGCTGCATTCCTCATTATCCTGCGACAGTGCTTCTCCCTCAAGTAAGTGGCAGGTCACTGCGTGGTGGACCGGGGGTTATATAGAATCCCTACGGTGTGGAAACAGGCCATTCGGCCCAACAAATCCACACTGGCCTTCCAAGGCGCATCCCACCCAGACCCATCCCCCTACCCTACATTTCCATTGGCTAACACACCTAACCTACACGTCCCTGGGCGCTACCAGGCAATTTAGCATGGCCAATCCACCTAACCTGCACATCTTTGGACTGTGGGAGGAAACCGGAGCACCCAGAGGAAATCCACGTAGACACGGGGAGAATGTGGAAACGCCACACAGACAGTCGCCCGAAGGTGGGATTGAATCCAGGCCCCTGGCACCGTGAGGCAGCAGTGCTAACCACTGAGCCACCACGCTGCCGGTGGTGATGGAGATGTTGAAGCAATCCAAACTAACAGTGATCCCCAGCTTCAAACATCACAGGCTTCAGCTTTACTCCATGACCAACACTAAGTGGACAGGGGTCACACTGGGGCGAGGGGTCACACTGGGCCAGGGGGATCACACTGGGCCAGGGCTTGCACTGGGGCAGGTCACTCTGGGCAGTGGTCACGATGGGGGAGGGGCCAAATGGAGATGGGTAACACTAAGACAGGGTTCACTCTGGAGCAGTGCTCCCACTTGTTCAGGTCTCACACTGGGCCAGGGGGTCAAATTCAAACAGTGTGTCACAGAGGGATAGGTGGCCCCTCTGTGGCAAAGGGGAGTCTCTCTGAGGTTACACCAGGGGTGGGGGCGGTGCGCAAGTAGAGCAGTTGACTTTGGGGGAGGGTATTTCATTGAGGGAGGGGTCACACTGGCTGAAGGGTTCTCACTGGGGTTACATGTGGGAGGGAGGGGGACTCATGGGTCATACTTGGAGGGAGGGAGTCTTACTGGGGGAGGGTGTCTCACCAGGAGAATGGGGTGTCACACTGAGGTAGCAGCCTCACGCTGGGTGAGAGGGTCATATGGGGTGGATAGATTGAATCACTAATGTATTTTGTATTTTTAAATTGTGGATTGAAATGAGAAAAGAGCTTTCAAAACTGGGGATTGCAAGGATTGCTGTATGGCATGAAAGCAAATTACCTGATCTTCATAGTGAGCACTGTTTACACAGCTGTTGGTTACAGCAGTGTTTGCAGATAAACTGGAACCATGGGGCTGTGTATAAATGGAGCTTTGGCTGGCAACAAGCAGCTGATTGGTTTGTGAGTGAGTGACCAGTTACCGATAGCAAAGGCCTTCTGCCTGCTAACAATGATGTGATTGGTTCTCAGGTGGCTGAGCTGCTTGGGGCTGTGAACAAGATACACAGAAGAATTTCAGACCAACTCCAGGTCAGAAACTCTCTCTGTTCTCTACAGTAAAAGCCACTTTATGGCTGAAGAAAGCCAGATTATCTTTACCATAGCAGTTGCTGTAAGGCGTGAACTTCAATTGATAGACCAGAGACCTTTAATCAGTAAACCAGCCACCCTGTGCCTTCTGCAAACCAGTGAAAGCATCTAGAGAAGGATGAGTGAGATGCAGCATTTTGACCAGTACAAGAATCATCTCAACAGACTACTTGGATAGGATCCACTGAACTGCTTTCACTCTGTCCAAGAGAGAGACAGGATGGATGGGTGGGTGGGTGGGTGAGTGGGGGATGGGGTGTGTCTTTGTGAACTTGCAGGGGGCTGCTATTCCCATGTATGTGCTGCCCTCATCCTTCCAGGGGGTGGAGGTCATAGGTTTGGAAGCTGTTTTCACTCTGTCCATGACACGTGTGTGTGTGTATGTGTGGGAGAGTTTAAAAAGGGGATTAGAGTTTAGCAGAGTTTTATTCTGATGGCTTACAGTAGTTTACAATAATTTTTGTTAACTACAGAAGTGTGATCCATTGCTAGCTATCAGATGGGATCAGAAGGCAAGTAAATTGGGGAACTTTGCATATTTTAAAACGTCTTGAAATTCTGTGATAGCTCTGGGGGGTGCAGGACTATATCTCAGAATAATGGCCTAGTGAGGTGTGACACTAAATGTTCCTGTCTCTGCAGGTCGGTGGTACTGGATGGTAATCCCATCGCTGGGCATCCCTATCATCAGCTCCTGAGTGAAGACAGTCAGTGAGTACTTACATTGCCAGCCTGTCCATAACTCCCCCAGAACACAGCATGGGGATTCACTCTGATGCTACTCCCTAAACAGACAGACACAGACATGTATTCACAACACAGCGCTGACCCTCCAACAGTGCCCGCTCCCTCAGCGCTGACCCTCCGACAGTGCCTGCTTCCTCAGCGCTGACCCTCCGACAGTGCCTGCTTCCTCAGTGCTGACCCTCCGACTGTGTGGCGCTCGCTCGGCGCTGACCCTCCAACAGTGCCCGCTCCCTCAGCGCTGACCCTCCGACTGTGTGGC